GTATGCTGTTTTTAAGTCCTTTGTGTATAGACCGAGGAGAAGGGATAGCTGGGTCAAATGATGGTTCCATTCCAAGTTTTCCAAGGATCTCCATACTGCTTTCCATATTGGCTGCACCAATTTACAGTCCCACCAGCAATGTATGAATGTGCCTTTCCCCCACATCCTCGCCAACACTTATTGTTGTTTGTCTTCATAATAGCTGCTATTCTGACTGTAGTGAGATGATATTAGTTTTGATTTGCATTTCTCTAATTGCTAGAAATGTTGAATATGTATTTTCGTGTATTTGTTGATTGGTTGTATATCTTCTGAGAAGTGTCTGTTGAGTTCCCTGGCCTATTTATTGACTGGGTTATTTATTTTTTTGGTGTTAAGATTTTTGAGTACTTTATATACCCTAAAGATTAGTGGTCTGATGTGCATGTGGTAAAAATTTGTTCCCAAATTGGAGCTCTCTATTCATCTCACTGATGATGTTTTTTTCTTTTGCTGAGAAGAAGTTTTTTTAGTTTAAATCCATCCCATTTATTGATTCTTGATATTAGTTCTTGCGCTATAGGAATCTTATTAAGGAAGTTGGGGCCTAATCCGACATGATGGGGATTTGGGCCTGATTTTTCTTCTAGTAGATGTAGTGTCTGTGGCTTAATTCCTAGATCCTTGATCCGCTTTGAGTTGAGTTTTGGCATGGTGAGAGATAGGGGTTTAATTTCATTTTGTTGCATATGGATTTCCAGTTTTCTGAGCATCATTTGTTGAAGAGGCTATCTTTTCTCCAATGTACATTTTTGGCGCCTTTGTCTAATATAAGATAAATGTAATTTTGTGGGTTAGTCTCTGTGTCCTCTATTCTGTACCATTGGTCTATAGATCTATTTTGGTGCTAACATCATGCTGTTTTTGTTACTATTGCTCTGTACTATAGTTTAAGGTCTGGTATAGTGATGCTACCTACTTCACTCTTGCTAAGGATTGCTTTGGCTATTCTGAGTCTCTTATTTTTCCAGATGAATTTCATGATTGCTTTTTCTATTTCTGTGAGGAATATAATTGGGATTTTCATTGGAATTACATTAAATCTGTGTAGATTTTTTGGTAGTATGGTCATTTTGACAAAATTGATTCTACCTGTCCAAAAATAAGATAGATCTTTCCATCTTTAAGATCTTCTTTAATTTCTTTCTTTAGGGTTCTCTAGTTTTCATTGTAGAGGTCTTTTACCTCTTTTATTAAGTTGATTCCCAAGTATTTTATTTATTTTTTTGAGGCTATTGTAAATGGGTAGTTTTCCTCTTTTCCCTTTCAGAGGGTTTGTCACTGATACACAGAAATGCTTTTGATTTATGGGTGTTGATTTTATATCCTGCTACTTTACTGAATTCATTTACTAGTTCTAGAAGTTTTCTGGTGGAATTTTTTGGGTCTTCAAGGTACAGAATCATATCATCAGCAAATAGTGCCAATTTGAGTTCTTCTTTTCCTATGTGTATCCCTTTAATTTCTTTCATCTGTCTAATTTCTCTGGCCAATGTTTCAAGAACTGTTAAATAGAAGTGGTTAAAGAGGGCATTCCTGTCTTGTTCTAGTTTTTATAGGGAATACTTTCAATTTTTCTCCATCATGAATGATGTTGGCCTGGGGATTAGCATAGATAGCGTTTACAATGTTGAGATATGTTCCTGTTATCCCTAGTTTTTCTAGTGTTTTGAACATGAAGGGGTATTGTATTTTGTCAAATGCTCTTTCTGCATCTATTGAGATGATTATATGATTCTTATCTTTAAGTCTATTGATGTGATTTCCATATGCCGAACCAACCTTGTATCCATGGGATGAACCCCACTTGATTGTGGTGCACTTTTTAATGTGTTTTTGTATGAAACTTGCCAGAAATTTATCGAGAATTTTTACATCTATATTCATTAGAGATATTGGTCTGAAGTTTTCTTTCTTAAATGTGTCTTTGGTTTTGGAATCAGGGTGATATTGGTCTCATAGAATGAGTTTGGAAGTGCTGCCTCCTTTGCTGTTTCCTGAAATAAATTGAAGAGTATTGGTATTAGTTCTTCTTCAAAGGTCTTGTATAACTTGGCTATGTATTCATCCAGTCCTGGGCTTTTCTTAGTTGGTAGACTTCTTATGGCATCTTCTGTTTCATTGCTTGGCATTGATCTGTTTAAATTGTGTTTATCATCCTGTTCAATTTGGGTAAATCATATGACTACAGAAATCTGTTGATGCCTTTGATATTTTCTATTTTATTGTAAAACAAGTTTTCAAAATAATTTCTAATTATCTTCTGTATTTCTGTTATGTCTGTTGTGATATTTCCTTTTTTATCACATATGTAAGTAGTTTGAGTTTTCCCTCTCCTTTTGTTCATTAGCATGGCTAGGGGTTTGTCAATTTTATTATTTTTTTTAAAGAACCAACTTTTTGTTTTGTCATTTTTTTGTTTCAATTTCATTGATTTCAGCTCTGATTTTAATTATTTCCTGTCTTCTACTATTTTTTTGTGTTGATTTGTTCTTCTTTTTCTAGGGCTTTGAGATGTAATTTTAGATCATTTATTTGTTGGCTTTTTTCTTCTTTTAAGGAATGAATTCCATGCAATGAACTTTCCTCTTAGAATTGCCTTCATAGTGTCCTAGTGATTTTGATATGTTGTCTCTATGTTCTCATCCTCATTCACCTCTAAGAATTTTTAAATTTCCTCCTTGATGTCTTTTGTAACCCATTGTTTATTCAGTAGCATATTATTTAGTCTCCAGTTGTTGGAGTAGCTTTTATTTCTTATTTTATCATTGATTTCTAATTTCATTCCATTATGATCTGATAGAATGCAGGGTAGTATCTCTACTTTTTTATATTTGCTAAGAGTTGCTTTGTGGCATAATATATGATCTATTTTAGAGAAGGATCCATATGCTGCTGAGAAGAAAGCAAATTCTCTCATTGATGGATGAAATAGTCTATATATGTCAGTTAATTCTAAGTTATTGATTATATTATTGAGTTCCATAGTTTCTTTGTTCAGCTTTTGTTTGGAAGATCTATCCAGTGGTGAAAATGTTGTGTTAAAGCCACCCAAAATTATTTGTTGTTGTCTATTTGACTCTTGAACTTGAGAAGAGTTTGTTTGATAAATGTAGATGCTCCATTGTTTGGAGTATATATATTTATTATTGTTATATCTTGTTGATGAATGGTTCCCTTAAGCAGTGTGAAATATCCTTCTTTATCCCTTTCGATTAACTTTGGCTTGAAGTCTACTTTATTTATGAGGATGGACACCCCTGCTTGCTTCTGCAATTGATGTGAGTGGTATGATTTTTCCCAACCTTTCACCTTCAGACTGTGGATGACTTTTCCTATGTGATGAGTCTCTTGGAGGCAGCATATTGTTGGGTCTTTTTTTTTTTTTTTTAAAGTCCAATCTCCAGTCTTTTGATTGGTGAGTTTAGGCCATTAACATTCAGGGTTATTATTGAGACATGATTTATATTTCATGAATTGTTTATTTTTAGTATTCAACTTGACTTGGTTTTCCCTCTGATTAGTTTTCCCTTTAGTGTAAAAATCTCTTTGCTGATTTTTATTGTTGTTTTTCAATTCCACTTCATGGAATATTTTGCTGAGGATGTTCTTAGTGCAGGCTTTCTAGTTGGAAATTCTTTTAACTTTTGTTTATTATGGAAGGTTTTTATTTCATCATCAAATCTAGAGCTTAATTTTGCTAGATACAAGATTCTTGGTTGGGATTCATTTTGTTTCACAGCTTGTTATATGTTGTTCCAGGATCTCCTGGCTTTGAGGGTCTGGGTTGAAAAATCTGCTGAGATACAAACTGGTCTCCCCCTATATGTGATCTGATTCCTCTCTCTTGTGGCCTTTAAGATTCTATCCTTATTCTGTATGTTAGGCATAATGTACCTTGGTGTAGATCTGTTGTAATTTTGTAAATTTGGTGTCCTGTAAGCCTCTTGTATTTGATTTTCCAATTCATTCTTCATGTTTGGGAAATTTTCTGATATTATCTCAATGAAGAGATTGTGCATTCCTTTGGTTTGAAGCTCTGTGCCTTCCTCTATCCCAATAACTCTTAGATTTGGTCTTTTGATGCTATCCCATAATTCTTGGATGTTCTGCTCATGGTTTCTTACCATCTTTACTGTGTGGTCAACTTTATTTTCCAGATTGTATACTTTGTTTTCATTATCTGATGTTCTGTCTTCCAAGTGATCTAGTCTGTTGGTGAGCATTCTATTGAGTTTTAAATTTGGTTTATTGTTTCCTTCATTTCAAGGATTTCTGATTTTTTTTTTAGAATCTCTCTTTCTTGCAGTAATCTTTTGCTACCTGTATTTGCTCCTTTAGCTCTTTGTTGGTATGATCAATGGATGCCTGTATTTGCTCCCTTATTTGTTTATTTGTGTCATCAATGGTTGCCTGTATTTGCTCTCTTATCTCTTTGTTGGACTGATCAATTTTTGCCTGTAGTTGCTCATTTAGGTCATTCTTTAATTCACATACATTTTAATTATGAACCTTCTGAACTCTTTCTCTGACATTTCATCAACTTCTCTATCCATGGGTTCTGTTATTGTAGTATACTGGTTTGTAAACTATGATATATATATTCCTCCCTTGTTTTATCATGTTGTCTATGTGATTTCCTTTCTTGAAGTGTGGATATGAGGTATTACAGTTTCTACCCTATAATCTTGTAGTATCTGTGCAGATTATCTGTACCTTACCTTGTTGTTCAGCTTCTAGACCCTGCCCATGTCCCAGGAAGGATGTTACTGCAACTATAGGTGGTGGGAGCAATAGCAGGAGGTAACTGGAGGTGGCAGTGGAAGTGCCACAAGATGGATGCAACATCTTTCAGAGATGGGGCTGAAAGGGTGGGTCTTACTGGATTTGGGATGCCTTCTCCAAGATGCAGCTGCTTCTAGGCCCTGTTTTTATCCCAAGGTAGAGGCTACTATATGGGGATGGCTGCAGTGTCTCAAGATGAAAGTGGGTTAGACCTGGGCTCCCAGGTGGTGGTATGTGTGGGGCGGACCCAGGCCTACCCTGGGCCCTGGATTCCTGGCAGGTCAGTGAGATGGTCCTGGGCCAAGCCTGAGCTCCAGCGGGTGTCTTCCAGTGGCGGGGTGAGCTCAGGCCTACCCTAGGCCCGAGCTCCCATGCAGGTCAGAGAGGAGGGTCTCATAGCTCTTCATTTCCAAAAATGTTTTTGTTGGTTTGTATTACAACTTCTATGGGCTTTAATCTTATTTTGTTTAATTTTGTCTCAAATTAATATTTGGTTTTACCAAAATAGTGAACTTATTTTTTAAGTTAAATATAGTATAAGCTGTTGGACTTTGGAGAGAAGTAGAATTCTTCCTAGGAAGAGGTATTCTCTTTTCTGAGGAAAAATATGCCTCAATGGATAGGTCTTATTTTGACAGTAGTTCTGTCCTGATGCAATCAATGTTCTGCATTATTTTATGAGATGATCAATCATATGCAGCCATAAGAGGAGGCATAAAATAGACTCAGGAAACAGTTTATTGTATACACATGTCTTAGGAGGTCTCCACATGCCATACAGGATCACAAGAGAAGTAATAGGTTTTGGCCAGGGCGCAGAACATAGGCCACTTCCCATTTCCCCAAGTATTCCCCTCCTAGGTAATTCTTTTTATGTTAGCTTTAAATCTTTAATCTGGATGGACTTTCTTTTGGTGTAAGGAATGAGGTAGAGACCCATCCTAATTTTCCAGTTGGCTGACCAGTCATTTTATCCCCAACTAATTTGTGATGCTTTTCTTTTATTATACACAATCTTCTCTATGACATTTCCTAGACATTTGGTGCAAATGGATTTAGATATATTTTAATGATGAAATATTAGAGAAGGAATGGAGAAAAACTGATGGCTCTCGTTACTCCTACAAGATAGAGGTTGATTAGGAGTTTTGTCATAGTGTTATAGGCCATTAGAAAATATAGAGCATCTTCTGCCCAAGACACATTAAAGGTTTTATTGAACTCAGACATACACACACACACACACATACATATACACACGCATACACACACATACACGCATACACACACATACACACCTATACACACACATACACAATACATGGAGTAAGTTTTGCATATCATTTTAGCATGTATTTATTTCTAACTTATTTAGCATGTTTATTTGTTACTGTTTGTCTTGCTCCATCAGAAGGTGAGCAGGAATATTTATGTTTTTCATGATGTATCTGAAACAGAATAGCATCTGACACACAGTAATTACTCAATAAATGTTTTACAGTTAATAAATGAATCATTGATGTAAATCGGTGAAATCAACATGGTGCTGTTCATCTTTTACTTTTAATGTATTTAGACAGAATGATACTCCCTGGTTTTTGATCCTTGGTTTACCATATTTCTTATATTAATGGCACTTAGTTCCTAAAATGGGGGAAATCATTCTTCCTTTATTCGGAGATTATTTCAGGTAATCGTGAATACTCTCAAAAAAGGCAAAATAGGGACTGTGGTTATAGCTCAGTGGTAGAGTGCTTGCCTGGTATGTATGTGGCACTCTGTTCAATCCACATAAAAATAAATAAATGTATAAAAATTACAATAGCATTAAATGAAAGGCAAAATACCTTTAGAAAAAGGCCAGTGTTTTATACACATATTTTGGGTTTAACACACTTTTGATTTATAAGCAATTTTTCAGTTTTCCATTAATGTTTTCGGAGTTTAGAATATCTGCTGATAATGTCATTTTTTTTTTTTCTTTTCACCTACAGCACAACTAAGTACAGCAAGTGGTCATTTCTCCCTCGATATTTGTATCTGCAGTTTAGCAAAGCTGCTAATGCATTTTTTTTGTTCATTACCATATTGCAGGTAATATTTTTGTACATGTTATTAAACTAAGATTCTTAAGAGATCTAAGAAAACCCTTGTAAAAGCTCATTTAGCTAAAATAAAGGTTTCCATAGACAATAAATTGAAATACTGTAAGAAGAGAATCTTACAATGTTTAAGTCATTCAGTGAGACACTGAAACTCAATTTTTGGGCTGAAAAACACATGGATGCAACTTTCGTCATGTATGCCTCCTTTATAATAGAATCATTTTATCATATTTTGAAAGGAACAACTGAAAGGAAAACAAAACAATAATTTTAAATAGCATCTGTTCAAAAGAGTTAAATTCAAAGTTTTCCATAATCTGGTTCATTCCTGTTTACTTATGAAGCCCGCAATCAAAATAATCTCTTCATAATTTTCTGGTTTTTTTTCTATTTCCAGACTTTGACCCCTAGTGTTAGAGGAGGAGGAATCTGATGTTAAGTCTGTAGCCTTTGGGCACAGGACATAGCAAAACACAAAAAACCTGGAAGCATTGGTTGCATTTCAGGAGGAAAATCACTGTATTAGTCAACTTTGCATTACTACAGTGAAGTATCTGAAGCAACTGACTTTAGAAAATAGGCATTATTATTGCTGTGGGTATATACATGACTGCATGACCAATGTAATTCTGCAACCTATACACTCAGAAAAATGAGAAATTATATCCCATCTGATTCAAATGTATGATATGTCAAGATCATTGTACTGTCATGTGTAACTAATAAAAACAAATTTAAAAAAAGAGAGAAACTGTTTACTTAGCTCACAGTTTGGAGGTTCAAAGTTCAAGGTGAGCCCTGTTGGTTTGGCTTCTGCTGAGGGTAATGGATAGCAATGGAGGGAGTGAACATCAGAGAGAGTGGCAACATATCAAACTGGAGGGGAGAGAGAGAGAGAGAGAGAGAGAGAGAGAGAAAGAATGAATATGAAGGCGGTCCCATAATACCTTTTAAGGCAAGCTTTAATGATTTAAGGACCTCCCACTTGACATCACCTTTTAAAGCATCTCCCAATTCTGCCATTCTGAGGACGAAGCCTTCACATATGAACATTTAGGTGACACACATTCAAACCACAGTGATAGGAAGCAAAGAGACAAGGAGAAGAGTAGAATTTTCACTGTGAAGAATTTTGTTTTGAATTGTAAAACATGTAAATGTGTTATCTGTTAAAATTAAATAAAATACAAATTGAAAGTGTTAAATTTTTCCTGAGTGTATAGAATATTCCAGAAAAAATAAAAATTTGATTTTTGGTACATAGGATTGATGAAGTAGAAAAGACACTAAAAACATTAGCCAAGGCCAAGTTATCAAAAGGTTAAGGGAACAAGACAGGGTGGAGTCTTAGGCAAAATGCCCCACTTGGAGCTGAATCTCAGAAGAGGGAGAGATTCGAGAAATATTGCAAAGGCAAAATTAACTCAGACCTCAAGCAATCCAAAGTTTCTTTCTTTTCTTCATCTATTGCTCAAACTTTATTAGTCAGCTTTTCATCTCTGTGACCAAATTACCTGACAAGAACAACTTAGGCAAGGAAAAGTTTATTTTGAGTTCATGGTTTCAGAGGTTTTAGTCCATGGTCAGTTGACTCTCTTGCTCTGGGTCTGAGGTGAGGTGGAAAATCATGGTGCAAAGACATGGCAGAGAAAAGCTGCTCAGCTCATGGCAGCCTGGAAAGAAGGAGGGAGAGAGAGAGAGAGAAGGAGGGGTGGAGAGAAAAAGAGAGACACATACATGGCAGGAATAGACATAGTCCAAGGCCAAACCCTAAGTGACCTACTTCCTCCAGTTATGTTCTCCCTGCCTATAGTTACCACTCAGTAGTCCACTCAGCTACCACTGGATTAATCCAGAAAAGTGGATTAGTGCACTGATAAGATCAGAACCCTAATCATTGCCTAAAATCCTTGCTTCTGAACTTTGCTGTATTGGGGATCATGTTTTTAACACATGCATTTTCTGGGGAGCACCCCAGATCCAAACCAAAACAAATTCCTTTTAAAGTTGTTATAAGAACTTTCAGGAGTTCAAAATAGATTCTGTATTGCTAAATGTCAAAGAAATGATAAGCAAGAAAGAAATAATAAGGCATAAGAGGGATCACACATAGACCCAAGCCTGGATATACAGGCCTAAGAACTTGTCGAAATCTAGAATGCTAAGGGGTCATACCCAGTACTTTACCTGCATCCTTTGGGAAACCACCACACCCTCAGTTTTCATTGCTTTATTTATCATTGTTTAAATAGTGGGGGTAGCCCTGGAGCACAGACAGCAATTGATTTGTATGTAGGTAGCATCACTCTCCCATGCCTCCAAAATTTTTCTCCTCTGCCTCAGAAATAATGTTCAGTTAAAGTAGCCAAACCATCTGATTCTGTTTTGAAAAATGCTATTTTAAGGTAACATTTAGGTTTTGAATTATTTCTTTGGAAACATAGGATTATCCTATGAAGAAAGTGACATACTGACTGAGATGTTGATCAGTTGCTCTGAAGACTCCATAGGGTAATACTGTTACACTCAAGGGATAGTTTTGATATGGTATGAATTTTCTTCCTTCCCCTTTTATTTAACATGATGTGTTAGTTTTCTGCCATGGTGACAAAAAATACCTGAGAAAATCAACTTAAAGGAAGAAAGATTTATTTTGTATCATGATTTCAGAGGTTTCAGTATAAGTTTGGCTGGCTCCCTTGCTTTTGACCTGAGATAAAGCAGAACATCATTGTAGTGGGAGCATGTGTTTGAGAAGGCTGGTCACCTTATGGATGCCAAGAAGGAAGGAGGGAGTGAGAGACAGGAGAGAGGAGAGAGGAGAGGAGAGAGGAGAGAGCAGAGAGGGAGGAGAGAGGATGGAGGAGAGAGAAGGAGAGAAAGAAGAGAAAAGAAAAAAGAAAAGGGGAGAGGAGAAGAGAGGAGGAGGAGGGGGAGGGAGGAGGAGAATAAGAAAGGGGAAGGGGAAGAAGGATCCAAACTATAAAATTTGTCTACTGTATTTATGTCCTGGGTCATGTGACTGGTCAAGATATAGAAAGCATTTATCAAATTAATCATGTTATTCTGATTGTTTTGCAGCAAATTCCAGGTGTTTCTCCAATAGGACAATATACAACTCTTTTGCCTTTGCTGGTTATTCTTGCAATTTCAGGCATCAAAGAGGTTGTAGAAGATTATGTAAGTTCTCTGTTAGATGATGAAATGCTCTCAAAACTCTGCCCTGACTCTTAAGGCATTCTTTGCTGCTCCAATTCTTTTTTCCTCCTCCTCCTCTTCCCCTCCCCCTCCTCTTCTTCCTCCTCTCCTCTTCCCCTTTATTTCTTCTTCCTCATCCTCCTTTTCCTTCTTTCTCCTCTTTCTCTTCTTCTTTCCAGACAGTTGGTTGGAACTGATGTGATTCTTTGAAATCTACAGTTGGTGTGAAGAGTAAACTAAGATTCTGAGGGTTTAAATTTAAGATAATAAACTTTTTGGTTGTGCCTTTGAGGAACTAATAGCACCTAGGAGTTGTCATGAGAAGAATTATGACAGTATCTTTGGAGATATAATCCCATTGAAGGCAAAAGTCTTACACAGCTAAAAGAGATGTGTGCATGAATTGTGCGGAGTCTTCATTTCTCCTTTAGCTTTGTCACAGTAGATTGTTTAATATTGTTTTTTCTGCTTGCTCTTTTACTCTGACTGGTCTCCTTCTTTTACTCTTACAATCCTAATGCTTGTTTCCCCAAATTACTGGCCATTATTATTCACATGCCTCTGCCTGATTCCTATCCTCCTATGAAGATATGCCATCAGCAGAATCTGTCCTTTGGTTCTTTTGCTTGGTGTTTGATATAAAGAATAATCAGAAGGCCTAGGTTAAGTTGGGTCAAAAGAGAGAAAGAGAGAGAGAGAGAGAGAGAGAGAGAGAGAGAGAGAGAGAGAGAGAGAGAGA